CCGATGCTGTCAATGGATAGAGGGTGTCAGACTGGAGCCGATTCCTGGACACCCTGCTGGTGTCCGTGAATTGCTTGTGGGTGTGGGGAAAACCTCCACTCACTGGGTGACCAGAAACTCAGAAGTGAAGTGTTGGGGAATTCCCTGGTGGTCCAGTGGTTAGGAATCGGAGCTTCTGCTACAGGAGGCAGGGGTTCGATCCCTGGTCAAGGAACTAAGATCCCAAGGGTCATGCAGTGTGGCAAATAAAAGCTAGAGTTTTAAACAAGAAAATTCTTTCCAAAAGAAAGCGAAATGTTTCCTGTGAGCAGTAAAGAAAACAAACAGGGAAGAAATGCACAATGGGAAGAACTGGGGCTTTCGCTGCACAGGAAGGTAGACAAAATCTGATTTTCCTAAATAGATACAAAATCATTTAATTTCTACAGGGCAACAAAACCACGACTTTGGGGGAAATTTTTTTCCAACCGATAGAAATCCTTGCATTTCTTTTTCTTTTTTAAAAAATTTGATTGGCATATAGCTGATTTACAATGTTGTGTTAATTTCAGGTATGCAGCAAAGTGAATCAGTTATACATATACATACATCCACTCTTTTTAGATTCTTTCCCCATATAGGCCACTACAGAGTGCTGAGTAGAGTTCCCTGTGAATACGGTAGGTCCTTATTAGCGATCTGTTTTAACCCTTGCATTTTTGTTGGACAAAAATCTACCAGTTACATGTAACTTTGTAGCATCTAGGGCTTACTCAAGACACAATTCCCTAGAGAAAGAGCTAATCCCTGGGTGGCCTGTTAGACAATGAGCCAGTGAAAGGACATTTCAGATATCCTTTTACCTTGTTTCAAAATTGCAGATACATTTTTCTTAATCTATGTGGGTCAGGAGTTGGTACAAGGGCTTAGGAAGCTCCAAGACTGATATTCTTTACCAGTCTATGTGTGTGTGCATTTTTCTGGACAAAAAGGTTTGTAGCTGCCATCAGGTTTTCAAAGGATCAGTGAACTAGCCTCCCCCAAGTTTAAAAACTATCCACTCAAAAGCTATTGACCGTCCCCATCTCCTTCTCCGAAGGAGAATTAGCATCTTGACCCAGAAGTCTTTCCTCAGTGCTCTCATTTGCATATTCAGGCATCTGCTAATATGTGCTGCAGGACAGTCCCTTCTTTCTGGTCATTGAGGTCCCATTGTCCAGGCAGGCCTATCAAGATCTCGACCTCAAGGATCTTTTTTAAGTTTTGATTTCTAAAATTGAGGTTTAACACGCAGGGAGCAAAGATTATTAAGAGTGTAATCTTAAGCATGCAGAGCGATGCATTTTCACACACATGCCCACACCGGGGGCTTCTTTGTGTATTTCTAGCGATTACCATCACTGCCATCAATAGGTCTCACTTCTATTATTGAAATCATGCAGTATATTTACTTTTGTGTGTTTGTATGGCTTCCTTTTGCTCAGCATAACATCTGTAAGATCTGCCCACATTGCGTGTGTCAATAGCTTACTTTTTTCTGAGTAGTAATACACTGTATGGTGAAACCACGATTTATTCACCCATTCTGTTGCTGCTGGGCATCTGGGTTGTTTCTGGATCTTTGTCACCTGAAGCAAGTGTTCCATAAACCTTCTTGCATGTGTCTTTTTGAGGACGTGGGTTCTCATTTCTTTTTTGTTTTGCACATGCGGGAGCAGGGTTACTAGGTCATAAGCTGAGGCCATTCAATTAAGAATATGCTGTCTCTCTGAGTGCCTTTCACCAGCACATGGTCTAGCTGCCTTCCTTCTTTGCTTGCATCTGCATTACTTCATTTTGTCCTCACCAAACCCCAGTGATGCTGGCAAAGCAAACACTGTCACTACCCTGACGTGTAACTGTCACTGTTTACTCACTGCCTACAGGGTTCAAAGTTCAAGTTCAGAAGTGCAGAACCCAGTGATTACAAAATTATTCATTGGGAAATGGAAACTGAGTTCCAAAAAATCTCACACACTTTTGGATCAGAACCCGTTGGAAGCTGCCAGCAAGAAATGTGGCTGGCAAGAGTGAGTGGGACTCAAGTGTGCTCGTGGCAGGCCAGGAAGGCCTTGCAAGCTTTGTATTACAATTGTTTCTCTATTTTAGGTTGGACAATGGCATTGCCGTTATGTTTTTATTAAAACAGCCTTTATCTTTTAGGGAATCTCCCTGGCAGTTCAGTGGTTAGGACCCTGCCCTCTCATTGCCGAGGGCATGGGTCCATCCCTGGTCTTGAACTAAGATCCCACAAGCCATGCGCCACCACCCAAAAAATTTAAAAATAAATAATCAAAGAATTTTTATCTTTTAGTGATTGGTACTCAAAACTTGTGGAGATGATGATAAGAGTTCTGGATTTGCTTTAAAGAAATCAGAAAAACAGAGGGACAATGTTTGAGTAATAATGAAAACATTACATGCATTTTTTAAAAAAGGGTTCCTTATAGCCACAACAGGCGGCTGCTACAGTGTGTTCGAATCAAACTGGGAAAGAATTTGGGAAAAACAGAGAAGGAGAAAGATTACTTTCTGAGGCAGACTCTAGGCTATTTTTGGCCCCGAGGAAACTCAGGGTCCAATCAGGCCGGAGCTCCCCAGGGACCTCGAGCCTCTGTTCTTTATTAATAGTCACTCCAGGGAACTGCAGTCCCCAGGGAGCTGCAGTCTGCGAGCAGAGCTGAGAAGGGAGTAAGGCCACCTCCACTCCCCGCGTGGGTGTGGGCTCTTTGAGGTCCCCGGAAAGAGTCCCGCCTCTGGGGCACAGGTGAGCGGGGAGGCGACTGCAGTCCCCGCCCCTGTCCCTCCCGGCCAGCAGGTGACACCAAGGCGGCTCGAAGGGAGGGCTGCACGGTCAAGGCCACGGAGCCCTGGAAACAGACCCGGCGCAGGGCCAAACCCCTGCCCCCCATGCCCCGAGGGGCGCGGGAGGGGGCAAAGAATGAGGGAGAAAGTGCCCTTGGGCTGGGGACCTGCAGACAGCTGGCGTTTGGAGGAAAGGGCATGTGAGGCAGGGCGGCAGTCTCACTTGCGAGGCGCAAGCCTGGAAGACCCACAGGCAGGTAGACGTGTGCGAGGGACGCTGGAGAGACCAGGGCAGATGCGGTGCAGCCCAGCCTGCCACGCGCACCCTGGTCCAGCCCACCTGCCCTCTTGGGCCAGGAGATCTTCCAGGCTTCTCGGTCTGGGATCGCACACCAGCCAGACAGAAGCCGGCAGGGGAATAAAATCTTCAACTTCTAACTTCAAAGAAATGCAAACTGAAATAGGAGAGCTATCCCCCCTCCCACCTTCTTTAGGACTGAGGGTCAGCAGCGGTGAGCTCCCAGTGAGGCTGCCCCCCCAGGCACCGGTGGGAATGCACGCTTTCCCAGAGGGGCAGCTCAGCTCTGCAAGTGGCACCAAAATGTCACCAAGATGTCTCACGTGCCGGTCCTTTGACCTTGTCGATTCACGTCTAGTGATCTACAGGGAGATACAGTCGTTCAAAGAGGCACACTGACTGCCCAAACAGCTTCATTTATGCCTGTGGAAATGAAAAGGGGGTGCCCAGGTGTCCATGTCAGTCACTCAGTAGTGTCTGACTCTTTGCGACCCCATGGACTGTAGCCCACCAGGCTCCTCTGTCCATGGGATTCTACGGGCAAGAATACTGGAGTGGGTTGCCATTCCCTTCTCCAAGGGATCTTCCCGACCCAGGGATTGAACCCCAGGTCTCCAACGCGGCAGGCAGATTCTTTACAGTCTAAGCCACTAGTACTAAACGTCCCTGGGCCGCGTTAGATACAGTGAAAGCCTCGGTTATCTCGGCGACCCGTCCACGACCTAAGCCACGTGAAAACAAAGGAGTGTTCTAAACAGCAGTTAACCTAGACTTCACTCAAAGCAGCCTGGAGAGTGTGCGCCCACAGTGCGCAGTAGTAGCGGCGGTGATGGGGGCAGGAACTAGAGAGGACTTTCATTTTCTCTTCTAAATCCATCTGCGGTGCCGACCGCATACTGCAGACCGAAAGACAGAGGCCAGCATGGATTTTTCACCGCCCAAAGAAGTGGTTGACCTTTAGGAAAGCCTGGTCTTTGTTCATTAAACGGGTTCTTTTACGGAGCATTGCTGTATGCGGGACCACGAGCTGGGGCCTGGGGAGCAGTTCCGGCAAAGACAGGGAAGGCGCGACTGACCCGCGGGAAGCGCGGACCCCACGATGTAGCTGCCCGGTGGCAGCTCCCCTCGGCCTAGACTTAGACCCTGAGACCGGCCAGTGCGAGCTCAGGACCCATACGGGTCACTTCGTCTCCACCTCCAGCCAGTTCTTTCCTGGTATCTACTATGCTTTCGGCATCTGAATAGTTTCATAAATCTTACCAAAGCCTCGCAGTGGAGGAATTTTTATCCCAGTTATATGAAGAGGAGGCTCAGAAAGCTCACTGGAATAAGCATTAAGGTTTCGGCGCCAGGAGTCACGCGGCCCAAAGACCCTCTCAGCTCTCACTCCGGGTATAGGGTCCAATTTGAGGTGTGGGCTCTAGAATCAGACCCGGGCCCACAGTCGAATCCATCTTCTGAGTGTGATCTTAGTGGGCAGGTTAGTGATCCCTTCTCCAGCCCGGGCTAGGATCAGCTATTTATAGGAGTGCCCTGAGGATTATACGGGGCAATGCCTATAAAGGTCGAGCACGAGCTAGGCACTGCGCTGAGCGCGTTTATGGGCATGGCCCTAATGAGCTGACCCATTTTTCAGATGAGGAAACTGAGGTTCACAGGGCGAGAAATCTCCCCCTAGGCCCCAGGCTTGCAGAAGCGAGGTGGCGTGACCCACTCCCATCCCCGCAACCCCGTCAGCCTCAGTTTCCTCGCGGGCCCAGCTGTTCAGGGCGCCCCGCCCCTGCAGATGCCCCGCCCCGTCCAGGCCCCGCCTCCGGCCCGCCGAGCGCCGGGAGTCGCCGCCCGCCCGGCCGCAGCCCCGTGCGCCTCAGCCAATCGGCCTCGGCCGCCGCCGGGTGCATTCAGCCTCGCCCGCGGTCCTCCCGCCCCCGGCTCCCGCTCGCCGCTCGCTCACTCGGCCGTCGCTGTCGCTGCCGCTGCATCTCTGTCGACACACTCGGTAAGGCCGGGCTGAGTCCGCGCACAGCGGGGAGGGCGGGCGGGCGCCGAGCACTGGCTGCGGCGGGGCCCAGGGCCGGGGACGGACGGGGATGGCGGGGGCCCCGATCGAGGCGGGGCGCGGGGGAGGGGGGCCACTTCTTGGGCTGGGGCCGCAGAGGGACTCGGGGTTCGTGGAGAGCTCGAAACTGGAGCGAGGAGGAACTCCACATCCCCCGCAGTGGACCGGGTATAGGGGGTCCGCGCCAGGGTCGCGATGCAGGAGAACAGTCCGGTGCGGCTGCAGGTTAGGGATGCTCTCAGCCTTCGAACTTAGCAGGACGTCTCCGGCCGGGGGCCCTTAAGGTCACCGGCTCCCTTTCTCTTCCTATTTCACCCTCACTTCCAAGGAGTGGGTAGTTTGGGTCTGGGGGTCAGTCCGAGAGTCGGTCGGCCTGGGGACAGGTACCGTGCGGGAGCTGGCGGGGTGCTTGACTCTCCGGACTTGGCACGATGCCCCTGGCCGGGGGCCACCGGGACCGCCGCCTCCCTGTCCCCTCCCTGTACCCCACTCCCCTCGCCGAAGTGGTTTGGGTCTGGGGATCCGCACGCAGTAGGGCAGCGGGAGTGATGCTCAGCCCTCCGGACCTGGCAGGGGACTTGAGCAGGGCGCTGCGGATCCTTTCTCGATCTCGCCCCATCCCTCCCCCTCCTGGGGTGGATTGGGTCTGGGGTGCAGTCGCCGGATCGCGGGCCGGTCCCAAGCGGGAGCCAGAGGGACGCTAGGGACCGAGAAGGACGCCGCCGACCCCCCTCCAGGCGTCCACCCCCGCAGTGCAGCCGTGAGGACACGCCCTTGGCGCTGGGACTCAGGCGCAGTCCGAGCGCCCTAGGTGCATGCGGAATGGGGCGCCGGGCCTGGGTCCCCGCTCGCGAGTGTCCTCCATCCCCGTGTGCGGCGCGCGGTCTAGGGCAGGTGGGCGCGGAGGCTGCCCAAGGTCGTGCCGGGGCAGGGAACTGACTTGCGGGGGGTGGGAGGGCGTGGGGGCCTCACGTGACCAGGCCCAGGCGAACTTGGCCTGCGAGCCCGGACGGCGTGGTCAGGGCGGTGGAGCATCCCGGGCTCTGTCAGCCCCTAACCCCAACTCCCTAGGCGAGCCGACAGCCAGTCCCTTTCGTTTTGTTTGGAAAGACCGTGGGTCAGCGTCTTTATTTTGTAAATCGGTGGTTGACTTTCATTAAAGCCAAAGAGAAGGATGATCATACTCTTCACTCCAAGAGTTAAAAATCTCGACTCTTCAGGTTAAATACAGAGCAAGCTTAATATTCCCAACTCGGAACTACTCTCGGTTCCTCTGCGTTCCATGTGATATTAAAATATTGAAGGGCAGATTTTAGTAGGAAACTGATAACTTGGTAAGCTACTTAGTAAAATGAAACTCAGTTTAACCTCTAGAAACGTGTGTTTCGTTTCACCTTTTGTTGTTACACCGTTTTCTCACGCAGGCGTCCGGTTTCTGGTCATTCCAGATATTCAAGCATGTTTACTTCTAAGCCCCAAGCCAAATGAATAAAAATGGTCGAGCACACTGGTGGTTTTTTTTCCCCCCTTAATGCCAACAAGCATCAGCCCCCCCACCCTTCCAAATTATTTAAGGTGATACTGTTTATCGTGGAGGCAGGGGAGTGTTTAGCTGTGATAGGAACTGGAGGCTGCGTCCTTGCCTAGTTTGGGGTGGTTCTGCCTCTGCGGGCCCCAGGGATCCTTTTTGTATGTAAATGACCGGTTTCCTGCCGAAGATGTGAGGCGAGATCTGATCTTGAATGCTGAACTCCATGCGAAGAGCTGTGAGAATCGGGAAAAGGGCCACCTTGAGCCGTGCACATACTCTCTATCAGACTGGCAGAAACGGGGCGTCATGAACCGGCCCAAATAACCTTTAGAGTTTGTACTGAAAACAAGAGTTGAAGGGAATGCACCTGGCGTCGCTGCCGCCCTTAGTCCCTGGCCCGTGGTCACCGAGCGGTCAAGCCTGGGTGTCCGGGGAGTCCTGGGGCGAGGGCGCGGACTTACGCAACCCTGGCCCCGCGCGCCGGTTCACGGAAGCACCGTTAATTGTTCTCGGGCTTCGCGGTGAGCCCCTTCCGGAGGCGCCGGGCGCTCGCGGGGCGCGGTGCCGCCCTTCTGACAGGGGTTGTCTTTGGGGACACCAGGCTCCTCACTGTCCCCAAGGCTGACCACGCAGGCCTTCCCACCCAAAGGCGCTTTTTGTCGCCTGCTGCCTCCGGGGTGACCGCGCTGGCGACGCGCGCCAGCTCGTTCCGGAAGGTCTCTGGGCCGGGCCGGTGGAACAGGATCTGCGCGCCGCGGACGCGCCAGGCCGGGGGCGGGGCTCGCCGTAACCTTTCCCCTACTTTTCTCAGCTGTCACGTGACGCCCGCGGGAGGGGCGGGGCGCGCCGACCGCAGTTGCTGGCGGCCGCGGCGAGGACGCCTTCCAAGCAAGCAATTAAAGTCGCAGCCTGGAGTCTGAAGGCGGTGGGAAGGTGGGAGGCGGAAACGCGCTCCCGCTCCGGGTCCCGGGCTGTTTCTGCACTTTGATCGGATGCATTTTTTCCTTTGTTGGAAAAAAGTGTTTAGTCACTCCGCATGGTTGTTGTTGGCAGACCCGACCGAGTGCTGCTGCCGCTGGAAGCCTGCACTTTGAATTCCGGAAAAAATTGCTGCTTTTAAGAATAAAATTGTTGTTCCAGCTGGTCTGTTTCAAGTGTGTTTCGGAGATTCTCTGTCTCCCAACTTCAACAAGGCCTCTGCTCGAGCCCCTTTTGAGCTTTTCCTGCGAGGACGTTTCTGTTTAAAAAAATAGATAATACAAGCCCACGATGCAAAACGTAGTGGGTACCAATGGGAATTCAGCACACAGCTGGCTGCCTCCTCGTGCCCCTCCCGAGAAGCCTCCCCTATTGTTTCTTTGACAACTGCAGAGATAGTCTAGGCGGTAGGGAGCATTTAAAAGAAAATCTGCTAGTTAACACAAATAAGGAATATTTTCTGCTTGTTGATTTCTGATTATTTTGCTGCCTTTTGTGAACTTCACCTTTTGTCCCAGGCAAATATTAGGTGGACTCTGCGTTTCCATCAGGCCCTGGACTGAGGCCAACTTGACCTCCTTGGATAAGGTGACTGGAATGCCCTTTACTTTTGTTTTTTTTTTTTGCATGTGAGTTGCTTTTATGTCCAACAATGTTTCAGGAAGTTAATAATTGAAAGTAGTTGCGGTATAATAGGGTAATGGCCCCATGGAGGGGTGGGAAGCCGGGCAGCCAGGCTCAACTTCTGAGGGCTTATCAGCTGACCGTTGGACACCAAGTTCTCTAGGTAGAAAGGAAAGGAACTGTTCCTACTCTGGATGTGGTGGTTCACTCCCACGTCCCAGGAGGTCAGGATCCTCCACACACACACACACACACCTGAGTACGTGGCAGAGCTGGAATCTGAACCTCCATGTGTGTTCTCTGAAGCTTGTGCCCCTTCCTCTAACAGGCCGCCTCCCAGACCACTATGCAGGTTGAGGGCCTGGGTATTGGTGCTCCCCCACCTCTGGGCCCACTGGATGTGACACCAAATCAGCTGTGTGTGTTTCTGGGTTTCCATTTCCTCCTCTCTAAGGCGGTCCTTCCAACACCTGTCATCCTGTCTCGGGGGGGTTTTATGAGGCTCCCTAAAGGACCAGATGTGAGAGTAGTTTCCAGGGTGTGAATCCCTTGGCTGTAGGCAGGCTTTATGGGTGCAGCTGCCTTCTGCAGTCCCCAGATGGGAACATGTGGTTTGACCAGTTCAATTGCCCTTTTGGGTGCAAAGGAGAAGTACACGGGTGGAAAATACAGGGCACCCCTCCCCCTGCCAGGGTTTTGGAAGGAACCACTCCCTGGTGAGGAGGAGAGCTTCTGCGAATTTTCTGGGGTGGATGCGTGCCCCACACAGCTGTCATCACTCAGGCCCTTGTGCTGATGTTGGCCAGTCTGGAGGGGGTCCTTCTGGGTAGGCATCCAGAGAAAAACACCTGAATAGGTAGCACAGTTAATTGGGGCCTGCCAAATTCTGTGTTTTCTTTTTTTCTTTTCTGTTGGCCACGCCTCATGGCTTGTTGCCGTTCGGTCGCTCAGTCAAGCCTGACTCTCTGGGACCCCGTGGACTGCAGCACGCCAGGCTTCCCTGTCCTTCTCTGTCTCCCTGAGTTTGCTCACACTCGTGTGCATTGAGTAAGTGATGCCATCCAAACATCTCATCCTCTGTCGTCCCCTTTTCCACCTGCCCTCAGTCTTTCCCAGCATCAGAGTCTTTTCCAGTGAGTGGGCTTTTCAAATCAGGTGGCCAAAGGATTGGAGTTTCAGTTTCAGCATCAGTCCTTCCAGTGAAGGACTCTAAGATATTATTCCAGTGCCTGCATGCGTGTGCGTGCTAAGTCACTTCAGTCATGCCTGACTCTGTGCGACCCTGTGGACTGTAGCCTGCCAGGCTCCTCTGTATCCGTGGGAATTCTCCAAACAAGAATACTGGAGTGGGTTACCATTTTCTACTCCAGGGGATATTCCTGACCCAGGGATCGAACCCGAGTCTTTCTCTTTTGTCTCCTGCATTCACAGGTGGGTTCTTTACCACTAGCACCACCTAACAGTTCCCAGACCAGGGATCCAACCTGTGCCCCCTGCAGTGGAAGCACAGAGTCTTAACCCCTGGTCCACCAGGGAGTCCCCAAGACATTCTGTATTTTCCTTATAAAGATATGGCCCTCGATTCTTTTTCTTGCGAAGATTTATCTGATTAATCATCACTTGTGGATATGGCACAGTATAAGGCTTACATTTGAATTTGCTTTATTTTCACAGCAGCTCTATAGGCAAAAGCTGTTGTTTATCAAGAGCCACAGAAAAAAGGATAATGATGCAGAATTCCTCTGTAACCTGCCTTGATTCAGCATCTTTACCCTGTAAATGTGAATGGTTTATTATGATATACTTC